GATCTCATCAGGCTTAACTCTAATATATATATATATATATATATATATATATATAAGTTTACAAATAAAAATTCAAATATAAACCAATCATGGTGTTTTGTCTGTAGGATAATACAATGGTGAATATAAATTGTGCAATTAGTCATAATAGTAGTAATGATAATATTAATAATAGTAATAATGGTCTTATCAATAATAGGGATGGAAAAGTGACGCAATCTGTGATAACACGAATACTGATGAAAAACAGTATGATTAAACAAACAAATGTTCAGGTGGACATAGTAATCGATAAAGTCTAGTAAAAACAAATGAACCGATTAAGTAATGTTAGATTGTAAGGCAAGTAAATGAAACACGTTTATAATGAAGATGTGTTAAGTAAGATTAAGGGATGATAAGAAAGGGTTGAAAATATAAACAACGGGTGGTGTGGAAGTCATCAGTTGGTTATATCTTAATAGGCCAAAGGAGGGATAATGGCTGTTGATATTTCGAATGTCTATCGCCTCAGCTGTGTCTATCTGTCTGTTTTCGACATAGAACTTTGCACAATGTGCGGAAGTTCAAGTCACCACACTCCATGTAGTACACAAAGCAAGAGAAGAAAGTACAAGAAAAGCATAATAGAGACAGTGAGCAGAGGTGCGAGACAAAGGAGGAGTAATAACGAAGAACAAAACAGTTCCATTGGAAACCATAAGTCAAAAGGAGTGGATGCATCTGCGCCACTGAGAACGATTTTGAGCCATGTCATCAATTGTTTCCAACCTTCATTGGTTTTTACCGTCCCGAGGACCCCAACCAGTCAGGAAGTCTACACCTTCCTACGTGGCTTAGACTAACTGTTGTAGATTTCATTGACTGGTACCAAGTTTTTGTTGACCGCCTCAGTTAAATGTGAAAAAATTGAGCTACGGATTGTTTTTGTCTATCCTTTGCCAAACCACCACAATGGGAGATGTTCACTAACACGGTGGTTGGCTAGGCTGTCTAGTAGTAGTATGCCCAACATAACTGTCACCACAGATTCAGTTGAATTGATAAATGCACATAGATGTTAATTATGCCTTAAAAGATAAACAAACTAACATAATGAATTTGTGTTTTTTATTTTTAAAGTGATTAGGTTTCATTTCATTTATACAAACGGAATGTATAATTTACCACAGGTAAAAAAAACAACAACAGAGAAACAAACATGATAAAATCACATGTTGTGTTTGTTGTTTCCTTTTTGGTAGAAATTTGAACAATCTGAACAACAAATTATTGATCTAAGTCTATGTCCACATCACAACTCCAACCAAAGCCTTAATATTAGCTAACGAATTTTGGTGTATACACATGCATGTGATCCATCTTTTTTTGAACAAAGAAATTGGATGATATACTACGATATTCTATCGCATTGTTCTTCCACTATGTTCAAATTGCCATTTAAGTAGGCTGAGTAGAATGCACAATGTCCCAATTTGTATAGTATAATCGTATTATTTGTGTTATCTTTCGAAAAGATATATTGATTTTGTGTGAATTTTAAAGTAGGTTATCAAAGGGCATCTAAATAAGCATGCGTATAGATGGATGTTGAAGTGTGGTTGCGAAATCTCTCTCTTTCTCGCTCTCTCTCTCTCTCTATGTGTGTGTGTGTAGATTTAAGTATGTATGTGTTAAATGTTTAATGTGTAGCATGTTTATTCTACTCTTTGTGTTATATTGTAAATTCATCAATCTGATAAGTGTATGATTACGATTAATAATTATGCAGATGGTAGATGGTATTATACAGAATGAAGAAAATGAAGTAAGCTTAGTCTGATCAACTGTTGATTTATGTAGGGTCTTAGCTGTTACTACATCGTGAAATAAAGACTTTATCTAGTCTATCTGTCTGATATATTGCTGCTGTCATTATCATTGGCCGGGGATGATATGCTCAAACCAACTAGCAACTCATCTTAAGCTACTGCTCCACCAATTTCTTCCAGCGTGACTGGCACATTTTTATAAGTTACCAGTTACCGATTTGGTGTATTTCCTCCATTAGTTCGTGAGACCGAATAGCTAGCTCAGTGGCAACGTCTCTGACTTCAGGCGCCACTGAGTGACGTGGGTTCGAATCTCAGAAGGGACATGAGTTCCTTTAAGGTTGCAGATACGCCTTTCTGATGAGTGCCAACTAGCACGAAACCTAGTTCCTCGATTAGTTGTTGGATGAGGAAAGCACACTGGCTGGCATTGTCACTGTAATCATGATTATTACCAGTGCGCCGTCGACACATGTTTGTTACGTATGCCTAGCTTAGTCATCGCCTTCCTCAACAATAGGCAATGTTAGCTGACATAGGGTTAGGTTGGAAAAGAGCTAGTGGTGGTCAAACCAAAACATGGCTTCATCAGCCAGTGAAATCCACAACAGTCAGTTTAAGCCAAACGCACTTTCTGAGTCTACTGGTTAAAATCTTCACTGCCACGTAAGTGAGAATACACCGAGATTGCTGGAGGGAATATATTCACACAGTAACAAATGGTCTACAAAATTACCAAAGTTGTGTTAATTAGTCTATAATAATCATGATCAGTAAAATAGTGGGCATTATTTTGCATAGATCAATTCTGATTGGTTAATTTCTAGACTGGACATCGATCGCCATATCATTATCACACTGCATCCTACGTCAGTATTTAAAAGTATATAGGTATCATGGTTATCTTTTGGTGACCAGTTTACAGGCACATATACACACATACTGTCTTACTTAAGTATATGGGCTTGTATCTTATTAATACAGTGATTTATCACTTATGACCACATTTGTTCTTTTAATTCACATGACAGTCATACAATCCTTTGATGTACTGAATGACAAGCCTTCCGCCTGGTAATGACACATAAGCGTCTTGGTCATCAAACGAAGATGCTTATCACTGGAATTGATTAAATCAAAAAAATCAAATTCAGTGTTCAGTATGCTTACTGATTTCATATACTAAAAATCCTGCAGTGGGGGAGATGTTAATGATTATCGTAAACACTGGGCCTTCAGTCAGTACGTCCCAGTTTCGTACTCCGCTCCACCTGTTTCAGCCTCGGCAATCGGGTGGTACTATCAGCCTTCACATGATGAGTGCGGCTCATACACTTGTAGTTGAAAGATCTGATCTAGGCATCTGGGTGCTAACGGGAACAAAGTAGGTAATCTCACCTTCTGGTCCCACTATCTAAAAGAAGGCGAAATCTAATAATTTGAAACCATAAAGCATTATATTACTTAATGTTTTCTCTCTATATTTCTTTTTACTTCTCTGACTATCTACAACAATAACACATCGGATCGTATCCACACAGGTATGTATTGTCAGTGATTCAGTCGGTAAAGAGGATCATGAGAAGTCAGATTTAGCATGGAAATCTTCATCCAACTCAATTGATGATCATATTTGGGAGGAATTTTATGAGTTTAATAAAGCCTATATGGAATGCCTAATCACATATTTAAATGAGGTGAAGTGTATTGTCACTATTCACACCGAGGCAAATGCGTCATCCTTGTTGGCGTCGTCGTCGTCGTCGTCAGCAGCAGCAGCAGCAGTAACAAACGATAATACTTGTGCCAAAACTAGTCAATCTTTTGATTATCCTACTGTGCATTTATTGGAGTCAAGTGAAATAAATTTGTTGGATAATAATTGGCAGCAAAATCAATTGATTCATATTGACAAAGAACGTGAAATTTTACAGGTTAGTTCACATATGTGTCTGTTTTTCGTTTCATTCATTGCTAGTTGTATAGAGTTTTTGTATCTTTCACATTACGAATAAAGAATGATGAAACTGTTTGTAATGCTTACTCAGACAGGAAGAAAACTTCATTAGTAATGTGAAATCTCGTCTCTGCATTTTTCTTTATCTTTCGGGGGAGTTTTCAGTTTTCATTCCAGATAAGTTTCAAGTCAACTTATTAAAACTTAATCACTGGGTATCGCCGTTCAGACATTAAACTGTCAAACCGAATTAACGAAGTCCCCTTTCGTTATCACTTCTAATCGACCGGTATCAAATTCCTGTATTCCAATTGTATTTCCTTTGGTTAATCGCTAATCTTATCACTGTTGTAGTCATAAACATTCTGTATAGAAGGTGAAATAGTCTCGATCATCTAAGAATTGTTAATTTTCATGAATGCGGTGTGTAGGAGGAATTCCCTTGATTTCAGGGTAGATTTTGTTAAGAATTGACATCAGTTAGATAGGGATTGAAATCCTAGGGTCACCGGGTGGGTACTTCATCCTAGTTTGTGACAATTCAGCTGTCCAGTGCTTCTTCTTGTACAACGGAAATCTCGGCGACACATTCACGCCAGTTGTCAAGGTTAAAATGGTCTGAAACACTTAGCTCCCCTAATTTATATTTGACGGATTCCAAACCTAGGCAGAAGGAATCATGTACATTAGTTTATTTATAGCTTGTGATGAGTAGCTGTTAATTGAATTAAGTAGTATATATAGCATAATGAAAAGTGAGATTGATAGCTACAATCCACATAGCTCCGTATATGATGATATCTGATAGAAATCAGTAACTATTAGTGGACATTTAGTTTGTTTTTTAAGTGATAGTTAGTCTAGTAATCACATATTAAAGCATGATCTGGTGTTTGGTTGTTGTCATATAAGATGTGACTTTGTTGACTGCGTGACAGTCAAGTCAACTAATTCACTAGAGTACGAGGTAGAATGGTAGGTCATAGTAAGGTAAAACAGATAGTGCAGAATACAATTCAGTTATTCACCGTATGTCTGGTCACCCAGTTTAGATAAAATGAAAGATCAGGAAGGCATCAGAAATCCGCAAAACATCTCTATTAAAGCTGTGGTTGTTTTCAGGTCATCAGTACATGCAAGCTAAATAGAAGTATAACTCTACATCGAACAACCTTTGAACCTACAAATCTAATCAAAAATAAAATAAATCAACTGAAAGATCCCATAAAAATGATGGATAAAAACAATTTGATTTATAAAATATCTTGTGCTGACTGTCCAACTAAATATGTGGGGCAAACGTCCAGATCACTCAAAATAAGAGTGAATGAACATAAACGCCTAACTAAAGGTCAACCAACAGGGACACAAGCTTACAAAAATCTTGAAAAAAATTCATCGATAGCTGCACATGCATGGGACAAAAACCACAATATCGATTGGGACAATGTGTGTATTCTAAAAACAAACATGAACAAATGGAAAGAAAGACTCATAACAGAATCGATATTCATTAAAGTCACACCGGATACATGTAACAAGGGTGACTCAGTACAAGTATCAACAACTTGGAATATAATTCTAAATACAAACACATGAATGAATGTAGAGTATAATTCTGAACACACATATGCACACACAAAACATGAATAAACAAAAAATAATAATAATGAACTATTTATATGAGTACAAATCATAAATGTGTGAATAAAACAATTCCAACAGTGGTGTGAACACGGGCAGTAATTTTGCTCGAAATATTACCAATAACAAAACTTATCATTGTGTGTAAACTATTAAAATATAATTATACTTTATTTGATCTAATCCACAATGCTCAAACTTTTTACTGATATTAATATAACTCTACTACAGATAAGATTTTATTCTGATAAATCACACACACACATACGGCAGTATTAACTGATGACTATTGCTTAATATGATTATGAGTAATAGTATGTGCTCGAAACGTCATCAATTAATATTACTGTATAACACTGTGTGATTTACCAAAATAAAATCTTATCTTTAATGGAGTTATACTCTACCACAGTGCCCAAGTTGTATTATTATTATTATTGTTCCCTTGGGTTCCTAGTGGAACATAGGGCTTCAACTGCACGTCTCCACTTGCTTCTGTCCTGATGTACTTCTCACCTGCATCCATGTTAGTCCATACTCTTTCAACTGTTCACACGATCTCCTCCATGTCGCTCTTGGACATCCTACTCGCCGTCTCCTTTCGGGTTCCACTCGAGCAATGGCTTGACGCGCGATGTCACCCAGCGGTCTCCTCCATCTCCATCCACTTTCTCCTGCATATTTGTTGGTTGGCGATTGGTTCTTGTTTTGTTTGTTCCCATAGTTTCTTGTTGGTGATTGTTTCTGGCCCGGCCATCTGATCTTGAGTAGTATAGAGTGAAGACAGTTGTTGATAAAGGTCTGCAATAGCCAGCCTGCTGGAAATATTCTTTGTGACCCGCCCGCCAAGTTTCTGATCCGATCTGTATAGAAGAAGTGGCTTGACGTTTGTATTGAAGATCCGACCGAATTTTGTTGTTGATGCTGGCTGAGTGACGAAGATTTCCAGATTGGTTTCAGGTTGATGAATGTGTTCCTTGCCTTCCCGATTCTCGCTCGATTCGACATCGTCGTCTGTTCCTCCTGTAGTTGAGACAATGCTCCCTAGATAAGTGAATGAAGTAACCTCTTTCAAATCCCTCCCATTGATGGTGATTGGTGCTGGGTGTTGTATACTTATATCTAAATAGAAGTGATTGAAACAACTTCGTTTATTTGAAGGCGAACTTACGGCTTATGTACTTGAATTGTTCCAATCTAAAGACTAGTAGACAGAAGACAAGTAGTTCAGCGAAGAGTCTCTTTTCGGCGAATTCATTTTCATAGCTGTACAATCTCAAATATATATGGTTATTTTGTGTTTATATATATATATATATATATATATATATATATATATATACATTAAATTTGTCAAACGAAAATACAGTAAGTAAGTTGTGGTCAGTCAAACCACCTTATTTCGACTACTTGAACTAATTGATCCGATCATCCACACAGATGCCTATCAGTAGTTGATTGCATCGCTCAGTTTTCCTGTCTGCAATGGTGACACAATTGACATTGTAAAAGAAATCACTGATTGTGATCTGAATATTTCAATTCACAGTATCTTCATAAATACATCACTCTAGAATGTAAGCGTTCATCATCTTGGACAAGAATCTGACCTAATTTTGACGAAATTATCACGTGACTGCTTTCATGCGAATAAAAATTAGTAAATATTGCTGTCTCTGGAACTGTTTTAGATATAACGAATAGAATAAAATGGAGTGCGTTGCCAACCACATTGGAGGTCCGCATTCGATTCCTGGCTGACGCACTCCTAAACGTCTCCTGGTTTTCCAACAGTTATTAACCCCGGAAAATAAAGAAGGCTAGGCTTGAGGCTAGCAAACCAACCTCGTAAAATCAACACCACTACTGAAACTTTGAAGCTTGAAGCCTTATGTTCGACTTGGAAGGCAAAGGAATTAAAAAGACGTGACAATAAAGCATCACTGATGCTCTAAAATAATCTTAATCTCTCTGTAGGTAGCATATAGTTAAAACAAACCACTCAAATGAAACAACTGAATTAAACGGACATTAAGAATCATGTGGACTGCAATTTTCAATTTTAGAGAATTAAATAAATGTTAGAAGCTGATGGGGGAAAATTACTGTTTCAGACAGCCAATCAGATTAAAAAACTCCATCAGATGTATCGGATTAGTATTCTATCGGAATGCCCAAGTTTTGTCCCTTGCATCATTGTCCTAATGTTTTTCCGATGTTGGCTTTTCGTTCGACCACACAGGAGGATTATGCTAACATTTATCATCTCATTTATTATCTCATAATTCCGTAACTAGAACGGTTTCCCACCGAAAAATTCTAAATGAGAATACCTGAAATTAAATGAAATCTAGTGTAGCGTCGGTGGCACAGCGGTTAGGACGCTCGCCAACCATGCACATGGTCCGGGATTCGATCCTCGGCCACAGACGCACTCCTTTACCTCGCTAAGCAAGAAATAATGCTGGTAAAGATGAAAGGTTGGGCATGGAGCTAGCAACCCGATCCTATAAAATTAAGCACTGCTACAGAAACTTCAAGCCACTAGCTTGAGGCCCTATGTTCCACTGGGGAACGTGAAGGAAAAATAATTAATAATAGAGTCGCATAGAACAGGGTACATGTATAATCTACACTGAGTTACGGCCTAAAATATGAACGGCATTCTCATATTCATCCTTCACACAAACACAGACACACAGATGTATCATATTCCACTCATTTGAATTTTTTGTCTACTGACGTATTGAAAATAAAAAATGTTAGTTATGCATCATAGATTTTTTTACTTATGATCACTTGAAATATGTGAGTGATCAGTAAACAGGATTATCCAACTGTGTTATACTTACCAGACTTTTAAGTATTTATTGTTATTTGGAAGAATACTACTGATATGAGTAGTTTTAAGTTACCCTGTGAGATAGACCTGTCATCTTCTTGGTTTAATTGAACTGATTACACATATCACTGGCTCCTGTTACACCTCTACCCATTCAGATGAATTTCTTGTTTATAGGGATTAAAATTTGGTAACACTTCCTAGGAGTAATAGTGGATGGTAAGTAATTGACTCAAAGATTCTACTGGTAAAACTATTCGTGGTGGTTTCGCTTTGTCCTTCTTTGAAATCTAAGTATCTTCGCTGAATCGTCGATGTTAATAGACTGCATTTTCTCATTAAATGGAGCTACATGAGCTTACCGTTATAAATTCATAGTTGACTGCTGGTTTTCGCTTGACATAATTTCAGCGAATTACTTCTAGTTGATTTAATAATGCTGTAATGGCAGCAGATAAGAAACTGTGAAAGGGATTTTTATTGGGAAAAAATACATCATTTTTATACACTTAGACACATTAAAGTTTGGCTAGGTCAGGGAACACTAAACTGTTCTAATTGACTGGTGATTGGTCCAAGGTTAAACAAGGTGTTCAATGAAATTTTTTTCATGTTCGCGACGTGAACAAAATCCAGATTTTTAGAAGAGATACTTCTCCCTCTTCAGTCATTGACTTGAAATGTTGATTTCACTTTTGTCCGCTTCCTATCGGTGAACATCATGCTACAATACCACATTACAGCTCTGTACGTGTACGTATACGGAATCGGTACCAACATGTCTATTTTATGACACCTTTTGAATTACTGGGGTTAGGTTAAGTGTATATCGGGATTCGAAATGGTGAACCAACATTTGTTGACCAGAAACTTGTAATACAGCTCTATGTTAAACAAAAAAGATCTTTGACTAGTCCAATATACTTTACTTTCATGTGTTTCTAAGTACTGCTATATTCATATTTTAGCTCGATAACGTATCATTCACCTTCGTTTTTGTCGTCAGACTTTATGGAATATACCTAAGGATGTTCATAGGTCGCTAAATTGGTAATAAGCCATAATTTAATTGAATTTTAGATTTTCCCGTCGACTGATTGGACCAAAGTACTCGGTCTCGGCACTGGGTTCGAGCATCGGTGGGAACATTATCACTCACTGGGAAATGCAGGTCATCCAGATGACGAGTCCCAAATAGGACGAAATGCGCATTATCCCGGATTCCACTGCTAGTCACCATCCACAAATTAAATAAGGCATAATGTTTTTTTAATAAAATTCCTTTCATATTAAATGGGACTATGAATACTTTCTTTTGTTTTAAATTTAAAACAGGCTAATTTTAATGAAATAAGCGTACTAGCTGATTTCCTACACGTTCTGTTCTCATCATCCTCCTCATCATCATCATCGACATCGTCATCATTCCCTGCTTCGTCTTTACCTCCATCATCATCTAGTCAAATCCCGTGATAAAAGATATCAAACAACAAAAACTATGGCAAGAGTTAATCAATCAAATGAGGTTAACAGCATCTCGTGCATTTGAACAATACACCTGTCTGGGATTTTTAAAACAGATTATTCGACGACCCGGTGGATTGTATGATTTGTCTAATTTTTTGACAGGTTAGTTTCTCTGCATATGATATTTAATGTGAATGCGTTTTGTTTTAGTAGTTAGTTAAAATCTCTAGTAAATTTTCTTTCTTTGTTGATTTGGTAATTTACTATCAGTACTGCATTTAGTCCTGATTCTACTGTTCACGCCTAGAAAACATAATGAAGTCATACATATACAAAAGAACAACAGATGTGGCAACTGATACGTGAGGAGAGGCTTTTATAGCTCAGCAGCTTAGTTGGTGATACTCAGGTATTTGAAACAGTGGATATAGAAGACTGTAAGTATTAAGGCGGATGTGCGTCGGTGGCACAGCGTTTAGGACTCTCGCCGACCATACACATGGTCCGAGCTTCGATCCCCTGCCGACGCACACCTGTTATCTATGGTCGGCCTGCAAAATTTGGGCAACCGATATCACATACTGAAAATTCCATACTTGTATCAAAAATACAGTGTAGAATCAAGCTGTAATCAAAAAATGTGTGTGTATGTGGAATACACTCACCTATTTCGGATCGAGGGAATTTTGATTAACTGGTTGGTTATGAATAGGACAGTTCGTAATGAGAATAGTATGTTTCGATAGAGAAAGAAAGACCAGATTTGCAATATAAAGTGATATCATCATTCTGTTTCACAGGTTCTCATCAGCTGCAAACTACCTGAAATTACAATGATTATAAATAATAACATTTCATACTTTGATGTTTGAAAAGTAATAGTGAAAACATTATAAGATGAACGCATCCGGAATATAAGCATTGCAATTTTTAGTTTAAGTTATCATTAATTTAAATGCTATCAAACTATGAAGAAAAGGAGTGGATGAGGGTAGACAGAAAACAGAGAAATCTAATTAACAGTATTAGCTTGTACGTCAACATAGCAACTCAAGAAGGTTAAAGTTCATCAAATTGAAAACTTGCTCAATGAGCTGAGCTCACTAGTGTGTATGACTAGTCATTGTAATGAAATTAATACGGCTTCCAAGGGAGTGAGAGATTGACTACACTCTCTTTCTGTGTGCATATGTTCGGTCTGAGACGTTTGATTGCAATTGCTTCAGCAAATCGTAATATATTCACTGTCCTTTGTATGTTTAAGATTTTCGACAAAATGACCCGTATCTACAGAGTGGGTGTCTGTTAATTGCGCGTTGTAAGTATCTGCTTCCTTTTAAGCATAATTTTCTTGAAATATACTCTGAAAACCGGATAGAAGCGCTTCTGTTTGTCCTTTCAATGTACTTGCTACCACAGGTGCACGTAAATGTATAAATGCAGTTGGAGGTGACATCAGCAGGGTACTTATCCAGTTTTGATTGGCTTATAGAGCATGTAGTGCTGCATAGTGTCACCAGCTTGGCTGCAAGGAAGCATCTCTTTATTGCTCCTTTCATCCTCTTGTCATTTTGGACAGCATCCTCTGTGAAAACTTTAGAAACTAATGAGCTATGCAAATATCTCACACGAATATTTTTATAGCATGAGATGACCAGAGATGTGGTCAGTCTCTTGAATGACTCAAACCAACTCTCGTTTGAGAAATATTTCTCTCTGCTAATGGAATTTATCACCTAATCACAGTCAAATAATTATCATAAATTTGTACTTTCTTAATGGGTGTTAAAAGTTATGTAATAACTTATTCTTTAAAACAAATGTTTAGAAATGTGAGTCTGTACCCACAATGACTGATTTACATCAGATTAACGTTTGCTGTACTTCTAGCTTAACTTTTCGGGAAACTGATAACTGATGTTCTCTAGTAATGGGGATATTCGATAGGGGGATAGCCTCCTAAAAGGAGATTGGAGATATTTATGCTCCTCATTAATATCCTCACTGTCGTCATCAGAAGACGTCTGGTTATTTATATAAGTGGCAATCTGAATAGTTCGATTCATACTTTTTTAAAATTTTAGATTGTATGTATCGTATTACATTTCAAATAGAATTAGCATTACTGAATTATGAGACATAGGAAAACATGTAATACAAAATCCATTGTACAAATGGTCCATTGTTATACTCGATTTTCAGAGTCATTTCTGTGATTCCCACTGACTAAAGTCCTTTGTGTATTTTATCACCACCAATCAAAATAAAGCCTCCTATAATAAAGGTTTTTGTATTTCCCAATAAATGAAAAACAAAACGATATTGTTTTTACTGACGTTTTGCTATTTAGTGATGCTAAGTATTATTAAACCGGAATTTACAAAATCTCAGCATATATATAACAAAGAGTTAAGAGGTGAGAAAATAGACTTAGATCAAGTTAAAGGGACATATTGAAAGTAAAAATAGCGATGAAGATCACTAAACCAAATAACAATGGTAATAGTACGTCTGTCATGATATCAAAATAAAGTCTACTAGCTTGATCATCGTTCGTCTATCTGGGGTCGTTTTTCGCTGTCAAGTTGGTCAATTGGTAAAGTTAACAAAATCAAATGTAGATTGTTGGATTTGATCAGTGTGTAAAATTATAAAAGTAGTGTGTGTTTACATAGTGAACTTGCTTATCACATTCGTGTTGATTTTGTCACTTCATGGGGGAGGGTGTTGTTGCGACCACGTCAGATTCTGTTTTAGTCCATCATTCCTATTCAGTCAATTGGGATTCCACTTAATATGAAGTGCTTCTCATATTAGACGTTCTTTGTGATTCTGAAGTTTTCTGATTATTTCAATATTGTCAAAATCAATTTTGTGGCCTGATTCTATAGCGTGTAGACCACCTCTGGCTGATGATTTTTGAAGTTCTTCTAGTTCAACTGGATTTCTCGGTGGTCGAAGAGATGCTCTACGGTGTTCATTTCTTCTGATTTTGATTTCTCGAGATGTTTGTCCGATGTAGATCGCATCACATTCCGAGCATTTTATTTTATAAACACAATTAGATATAGAATCTTTCGGGATTTGGTCTTTTATATGCACAAGGTTGTTTTGAAGTGTGTCCGATGTTTTGAAGAAAACTCTAATGTCGAGCTGATTGAGTACTCTTCTGATATCGTCTGACGTCTCTGCTCTATATGGAATGACGACTGTTGAAGTCCATGTTTTCGGAATGCATTTTCGGCCATACTTAATGTCTGTGTTGATTTTGTTGATGAAGTTCGTTGGGTAGTTGTTTTGCTTGAGAGTGATGTTTGAAATTTCTTCTTCTTTTTCTTGCTCATCTGTTATCAGGGAGTGTGCTCGTCTAAGAAGACTTGAAACAACTGAAATCTTTGCGCTGATGGGGTGTGATGATTTGAAGTCTAAATATTTGTTGGAGTGGGTTTTCTTCCTGAAAATGGATATACTAAAATGTCCGTTTTCCTTTCTCTTAACTAGGCAGTCTAGAAATGGAAGTTCACCGATGTCTGATTCTGCTTCCGAAGTGAACTGGATTTTGGGAGATACACAGTTTATTTTCTCCAGGAATGAATTGTGTAGATCTCGTTTTAGTACTACAAAAGTATCATCCACATATCTTAACCATATTTTAGGAGTGAGTATGCTTGAAAAGATATTATTTTCGAATTTATTCATGTAAAGATCGGCGACTATTGGGGAGACTGGTGAACCCATAGCAACACCATTTGTCTGTCTATATAAACTCCCTTTAAATGTAAAATAATTACTTTCTAGACAGAATTTTAAGCTCTTAATTATTTTCAAAAGAATGCATACTGAACAAAGAGTACTCTTTTCGATAAATTCATCATCAGGCTCTTAATTATTTCACTAGTGTCCAGTGGACATCTTTGTGATAGCGTTGCATCTGATTCTAGTAGACTGCAAATGATATCAAGACTTTTGGTAATAGGGATGCGAGTATATAATATCATAGCTTACCATAAGGTCTTCTGTATCAATTTCTCGGTGTTCTATTTGGGATTTGGAATCACATGAATTTCTTACAATATTTTGAGTGTCCTTTTGTAGTGGTTGTAGTACCGACAGTCAGTATTTAGAGAGGTTGTACTTACTCTCGGTAATCCCTTATCTTAAGGTGTAAGACTGTGACTCGCCTATGGACAACAAGAAACATGATATCTGACTCGCAGACTTTCTTTTTAACAAAACTGATTTCATAAATTCTACCTTTGATATTGTATTTTACAGTGTTTGGTCACTTAGAATAATTAATATATTAGAAATCCTAATTAGCAATTTGAATTGACATAAAGTGACGTCATCCGTAAAGCGATCGCAAATCGAAGACCACTGAACAATGGTTTGCTCTTACCTATGTACACTGGTTAGTAGTCGAGATGAACTACCTCAAGAGAATTATTGCATTTAGGCGTAACAGTTTTCATGCCTACTACTGATTGAGTAAGAATGCAGTGGCGTATGATTCTCGTGATTTTTACCGATGTTACCTTGTAAAATATCATAGTTTAATTTGTAGAAATGTTTATTCAGTCGGTTATTTGTTTTAATTCTTTTATTTTAGAATTACTTAATCGATTCTTAAATACTTCACAATCTCATATCTGGAGTGAATTAGAACTGTACTATTATGAACTTACAATTCGTCATTTATGCCATCAAATATGGATTGAATTGGCTACTATCAATGAGTTGAATAGTGAGCACTTTGATAAAACTGAATATATCGGTGTAAAGAATTGGTTAGAGGCATGGATATATCGTGTACAAGAAGTCTATCGATTAATAGTCAATCTATGGCAGGATAAAATGAATCAATTTCAAGACAATTTACATATTCTCATTATCAATCAGTGGTGTGATTATGTCACAGATTGTATTGATGAATCTGAATTATCTGAAATGTAAGTGATTAGAGAATTGGTTTCTGTTTGTTTTTTTTACATCCCCCCTCCCTATCCTGAAAAAATATTCTTTTTTTCCTTCTTATCGTTATCTTCTAATTAGTATCTTTAGCAGGAAATATTATAGCAGAGAATAGCCTAGTTTAAAACATATCAGAAATCTGTACATTTCTCCTCCATCAGTATATATATGTATATATATATGGAGTTATCGATTGGGGGTGGGTGGGTTATTAACGTGACCTGTCAGTAAAAGCATGATACACTCTGACAGTTTATTCATGACGATGATATTTGTGAAGATGAATTAATCTTCTGTTGGGTGGTGGCGGTTTAACACATAGTGGTATGTACTACTGATTGAGATGAGTAGTACAAAGGTTGTGTTGAGTTTCTATGGGCTTTTTTGGTGTGTGTGTGTGTTTTTTGTCACACATTACAGAGTTTTATAAGTCAATATCGATAATTGTTTCAGTTACATACATCGATGGTGACGTATATGGATTTCTCAATTTTAATCAGCTCTTATTTGCTGTAATTATAATAATAAGACTAATAATAATCTTGAAAGTAAAAAGATAATTGTGAAAAGTGAATCACAGTGTTTACCACTAGAAATTAAGTTTGTAACCGTCAATAAGACCTTATTGATGTAACTGTAGTAGTACATTTATACATTCATTTAACTCTATTTTCTTATTCCTTCTCTTTCTAAGCGGGACATAGGGTGGCTAAAGCTTTGAAGTTTTGCTGATGTTGTTGTTTCTGCGCGCGGAGGCTGGTGGTTGGTAGCCTTACGCCTAATCCCCCCACTTATATAGGCCTACTATTGGGTTGTAAATTGTAGTTTAGGTAGGTGTATGTCGTCCAAGCATCGAACTTGGAGAACGTGTTTAGCCGGGAAGCATCGTATCCTTGAGCTACCAACGCTCTATAAGTGTAGAGTTTTAGCGTAGGCCGGAGGAAATGACAGTTTGGATTTCTGAATGAAAAGCCTTATCATAGCTTCATAGGAAAGGTCGAAACATAAATAATGGTAGTCTGGTAATAGCAGGAAGGGTATTTCATTCGCGTACATTTCAAATTTTAAAATAAAAGATGCAAATGCCTCTAATATTTGAGCATATGTGTGAAACTGTTCAGTTCACTTGATATTAGTTTACTGTTGGTGATCAATACTGTTTCTCCAGTAGTGAGAAGTGGATTGATTATCGATTTAAAATCACCCGTGAAATGAGAACTTGCGTCATCGTAGGACTCGAATCAATTTCCTCTGTATTACTTACCTGACAATTTACTGGCCTACAGATATGAGGCTCAGTTGATAACCTTACTGTATGCACCAGGGTTTTCTCAGCTATCGTGTGAATAAGTGACCGTTTGAGATTGTCACATTACATACCCAACCGAGTATTCTCGTGGCAATTCTGTCTGTCGGACTGCTTATGGTAGCATCGGATATTCCAGTTGAAATAGATCTTATGTGTGTCAGTTATATTAACATTTTTTGTGGAAGATTATTAATTCAGAAGTTAAGTACCATAACTCTGTGAAGGTATAGAAGAGAGATTTCTATTGGTATATTATACTACTGGCTGATTTAAGTAGCAGGAACCCACTCATATCAGACATCAGTACCTGCTAGCGAAATCAAGATTGCTTACGCATTCCCGAGTAGATTCATGTCATCATATGAACACGAGTTTATTTATTTGATTTCACAATAGAGATTTGTATATCAGACTAAGAATAACAATTATTTAGTGTTCTATAAGTTTTATTCTTGAAAAAGACTCTTCAGCACTATGTCAATGTGACTTTATCAATCGGCATTCACACATCATTCGATAGATAAGATGTTGAAATGTTCGTAGTCAAATGATTTCCATAGCCCAGACAACACTTTTTAAGTCAGAAAATTCAGTCTCTCCACACGTAAAGATATTCGATATTATTTGACCTTGTTATGTCTAGATATCTAAGTGACTAGTCCACTTATCTATCGATCCACATATCATTTTATGCTATCGACTAATAGGTAATGATTTCGGACAGTTTATTTATTCTCCCTATAAAGTCATGTTGTGTCTATGATTGTTTAGTTTATTTTCTATTGATTTTATTATTCATGATTCATAGTTCAGTGGATTAAGTAAATTCTCAGTGAATTACAGTGTTTAAAATAAAACTTGAGGGGTTAAATTTTAATCCTCATATTTGAGTGGAAAATTATTTAACTGTCGACATATCTGTGATATTTTCTACCTTACCTACAGTTTGTCTAGATTGAACTTTATTTTATATATGGTTGTATAGCAGTAGTTTTTGTTAGATTTTGTTCTCTGTTGAGATTTGTGAATGCATTACACACCTACAAACCATCTCATAGCCTGATAAAAAAACTCGGAAATTTTAAGAATATGACGGTATTGATCAGATGGTCTTCTGTTTTAATTCCCAGGGTAGATGTTTCAGCCTCACTTGATTAGTAATTGAAGTCAATGTGTTAACCATTCTGCTTGTTTGAGAAACTTTGTATGCTCTGTGTACTCTAGATGTGATAGATGAGTATTTTCTAACAGACATTGTGGCCAATAAAGCCGAATTGACATTAGGAGGTTTTTATTTAATTGGTGGATGGTAACTAGCAGTGGAATCCAGGATGTGCATTTCGTCCTGTTTGGGACTCGTCATCTGGATGTACCTGCATTTCTCAGACCGAACCCTTCGGTCTAATCAATCGACGGGAAAATATCAAATTAGATTAAATTAGGAGGTTTTGTTAGCTACGTCATTTATGCGGAAAATACTCACAACTTTGGCAGAGTAGCTCCTTATTAGATGAGTTCATGATTCCGCCTCCTAACATCAAGTGTAACTACTATCAATCGTCAGAACAGATGGAGTTCCCAATTTTTCAATTAATAAAATGTTTACGTTTGATTATAAAAAAGCCAGAATAAATCAGTAAATAGTCGTGGTGATGAAAGTTATCCCCTTTTAACAGTCTTTTTATTGTACCTTCACATCACTTCATTAGTGTGTGTACTTGAAATTCTTTCTTTGGAATAGTTTGGTTGTTCTCTTTTAACATACTATCTGCCTTAAGTGATGCCTTTAATTTGACTTCGGCAGTGGTCAGCAATGAAATCTGAGAGAAAAGCATTTAGTTCTGTTCAAGATTAAACACTTCGGTTCAATGGTTCAATGGAAAACCATGGTTGTTATAAATAATTAGGAAAAGGATATCTTTGAATAAGTAAGGCGCTTATTAGACAAATTTTGCGAGATGATATCATTTCGTATTTCCTCTACAATCGCTTTACAACTACCATGGTTCCTAATAGTAAAATAAAATGAAAGGTATGATAATTACTCAGTCATATAAAACAAAAGTACTTGCTAATGATTAATCATATTAAGACACAGAGAATCCCAATACAATTAATCTGAATAGAAATCCACCATCATCCACTGCAAAGCACTTATTAATGTCAGGGCACAAAATCAATATTAATAACTGCTTCACAATTATTTCACATAACTCGAATTCAAGGTTATTAAAGGTGATGGAAGCAAATAAAGTATAATTATATTTCATAGTTTACACACAATGATAAGTTTTGTTATTGGTAATTTTGCTCGAAATATTACCAATAACAAAACTTATCATCGTGTGTATACTATTGAAATATAATTATACTTTATTTGATCTAATCCACAATGCTCAAACTTTTTAGTGATGGAAGCACTTTAGATTGATCACATACATCCTAAACAATGTGTACAAAAAAAAACAATAGACTTCAATCTTCGCCTACCATGGACTACATGACCTATTTAAATATGATTGATCATTAGTATATACTTTTGATTTTATATAACTAATTTGTCATGCACTTCATTTCACTTTATTATTGTGAACCATGTTAGTTGTAAAGCGATTGCAGCGAAACCACGAAATGATGTCATCTCACGAAATTTGTCTTCTAAAATGCCTTATTCAAAGATATTAAAGGAACTATTTGTTTTAATTTTCTAAAGTGATATCTGTTTAGCAAGACTTGGTCCTTGGGGTTTATTACCCTCCTAAGTGATACGTCATCATTTGAAACAAATGGTCACTTATTCGAGTCTTTAAAGGGAATACAATTACTTATTGAGATGTGAATGCTTGAAGAATGTCTCACAGACCCTTAGTTAGCTGTTGCAAAATAAATAGGACTCTTCAATGGATGACTTTCTGAGATTAATTTCATGATACGTTTCAAAATATTAACAAGACAACAAATATACATATATATATATATATATATATATATATATATATATATATGAATTGGCAGAAGTGATAATTCATGGGCCATAGAATCGGGCCCCAGTGGCTTAACAGTCTACGAGCTCGCCTTTTAACCAGGAGGTCCTGGGCTCGAACTCCGGTGGATGCGTACTGATGAAGAGTCCTAAACTGGGCCGACGAAATAGCTGTTCCAGTACTACCTGGTGGTTTTCCAATGGTTCTCTAACTGATGTCAGCTCATAATGAAATCCTCCAAAGAATCAAATATATATATATATATATATATATATATGCACAGTTTTCGGAACAGTCTGATATGAAAGTGTATGCTAGAGCTCAGGAAAGGAGAAGTTATAAAGTAAGACAGACGTTTTAAGCTTTGGTGTAGGATTGATAGAAAGAGCACAAGTGCTGCACACACTTTAAATACATGTTCAACGTTTGCAATTTAGCAGGTTTGGTGAATTTTATTTAGCAATTTCATCGAATTTCGTATAGTATTTTGAAATACGCATCAAGCAGAATTGGAATCGGTGTTGATTGCTACATGTGTGAATACGGGACAAGAATATAAGCGCAAGCAAGACGATGAGAATATATTCAAATTTGGAACTTCGTACAAATGAACTCGCCACTTGAGGATTACATTGTTCGCGGCTACGAATTCACTACAGTTTTCTTTGAAAATATAACCAAAAATTTGCGAACGTGGAATTGTAAGTTTGATCACAGGCTGAGTTCAGTCAGAGAACCGTTAAAAACTGGGAACGTACTGAATAACTGCTTCGTCCTTGTTTCTTATTCCTCATCAGCGCATAGCCATAACCTCACCTAAACCAATCAAATCTCTGCCAACCAACACTTGAAAACTAAACTAGAATTCATTAGTGACCGATTATAGGATGAAGTTGTTTGAAGTTCTAATGGGATGTCGTGACCAGTAGGGTCCACCAAGTTGGGTAAGGAAACAGTTACTCACCTGTTTCATTGACTGGCAGTCGCGCTACATATCGCGAATATGCACAAGTTAGAATTCATTGGTCAGCTGTTAGATTTCGTGCCAGCAGCTAAGTGGTCAACTAAGCCGCCTAAAAAAATCATGGGTCCGATTCCCTGTAGAGCTCTGGGTGCATACCTTTGAAGATTCTCAAGGGAGGATAAAACAGCTTTCCAGTACTCCCTGGTTCACAGTGGTTCTCTAACTAAGTTCACTTGTGATTAAGCCTGAATTCGATCAAATCCCTATAAACCAACAGTTGAATATGAAGAATTTGTTTCTTTGTAATACCAGTTTGCCCTGAAATCCTTTCAGGTGGTTTGGCATTCTGAGTTGAGTCAAACCGAGTGCATTTATAATGATTTTGGCATCATAAGAGCTACTTTGACACGAGTGGTTTCCATCTACTCATTAGTATACACCATCCTGCTATTTTGCTGAAACTTATTTTTTTCAGTCAGAAGAATCGAATTATCCACCCACTCTTCTGTCCGAATCTGTCATTTGACGTTCATGTTTTTATTGGAGAAATTTATGAGATGCAATTAAAATGTTATAATTTCTCAAATTTATTATTATAAAACTGACTGGATTTTTATTTTCTCTTGTTAGGCGTCGAAATGACTTTCCTCCTGTCAACGCTTTTCTCCCCAGTCATCAAACTTCACAAGAATCACAATCACAGCGACAACAAAAACTTGACAACAAGCCTTCAAAGAAAGAAATTCATTTTTCTCTTCTTTGGTCTTTATTGTGCGATGCTGAAATGATTCAAGAGAAGTGTAGTGTTCAGTTAGAAAAACTACCCTCAAAAGGTGTGTACTTCTCAAAAACTCTACAGAAGTTGAAAAAGCATTTAGATGTGTATATAAAAAATCTAACCACGTCATCATCACCGTCGTCATCCCCGTCATTATCAAATGTCATTCCACAGTCAAAATCGTTTGATACCAGTCATAACTCTCTCTCATATCTAATACAACAGTTGGAGTATAGTCTACACAGTCTTCCTGTGCATTATCGTGTGTTTTGGTTAGAGGTAACCAACGATACTGGAAGTGTTACACATCAATCGGATCAATTACGCGTAATCCTACAAGAGTTACGGCAATTACGGAATTTATGTGAACGTAATTGTATGCTGTGTAAGCAGTCTTTAAGCCTTCTGCATAAATTAAGCCTATCTAGCTTAGAACAACATGAATTATTTGCTGTTAAGAATATGCTTCAGTTATTGAATACCTGGAATTATGGTTATTCTATTTTACGTCAGTCATTAGAACGTGTTATTCGAGCCGGTGAAGTTGTTGAATCGGAAAGATATCCACTAAGAACACTAAATACCAGTGAATTACGTTCAGAATCAGTAAGTTGTTGTTGTTGTTGTATTCTTTATTGTTATTATTTTCTTACTCCTAAATACAGAATAGGTAAGCTGCGCTTGAAATGGGTTTGATTAAAAAACACTGTAATAATTAATGAACTTGATAGAAGCTTAGGTATTGGCTAGATTGAAATGTTCACTGGTAGAATGCTCTCCAACCATACTGGAGGTCAGCATTCGATTCCTGGCCGATAGACTTGTAAACTTCGCCTAATTTACTAGCCAATAGTAAGCCCAGAGAAGTGAGAAGGTTGGGTGTGAGGTTGATAACTCTACCGCATAAATTAAACTTCAAATCCTGAAACCCTATTGTCATTATCCACTTGGGTTCTGAGTAGAACGTAGGGCTTCAACAACACATCTCCACTTTGTTCTATTCTCTGCTGTCCTCTTCAGCTGGGTCAACGATTGCCCATAATCTCTCATCTTTTCTTCGCTTGATCTCCTCCATGTTACCCTCTCACCGATGACCCATTCATCGCTTCCCATTTGGATTCCACTCTAGAGATAGCCTGCATTGTGAGCGATGCTATTCGACGGCCTCAGCGCATATATATATATATTCCAGGTTACCGTCACTTAGGAGAGCAACTGTTCATAATCTCATAGATAGACGCATTAGTTTGAATGACGTATGTTGATTAGCATGCCATAATAACGTTTTGGTACTTCTTTAGGTGCTAGACATCGCAACATCTCTTGATTGATAGAATCGAATGCTACCTAGTGGTGTGAAAATATGACAAATGTAGTTATGTCCATGTACGGAAATGTAATGAGAAGTGAAGATTCGATCAGCCTAGTATTTAATGAGGAGTTAGCAGTGGATTTCATAGCGAGTGATTTGTTGTCTCCTGAGAGTCGTCACATTTTATGTATATACATCCATGTTACTGTTCTCACTGTGATACTGAAATTCTCATTATTAAGGTAATGGTTATTGATTTGATTATTTAATTAGATAGCATTGATTTTAACTTACCTTCTATTGTTTTCCATTTGTCGTCTATCTTAATTCATCGCCATCATCTTCGTGGCAGATTCAAATGTTGAAACAGAAACAAGCCTTTATTGAAGCAGTGCAATTCGGTTTAGAGACTATACGACTTCAAATGAAGTCGACTTCAGTTAAACTGCACGAATATGATACCACTTCAAAATTAATCGATCATAAGACAAAATTTCAACATCTATTGGAATCACTGAAAAGCTTGTATCATAGCATATTAAATGATGATAGACTGAAAACTACTAATAGATCTGAGATACCTGATGATGATCTGAATTGTTTAGTAATAGCTAGAACAAAACAAGCTATTGAACTGAGTCAATTATGTCGTAAAATGGATCAAGTCAATTGGAACACTGCATGGGATGGTTTTCTAGAGTTTACAAATGAAGCAAAGGTTGATAGTGGAAACTCCAGTCGCTGGATAGTATACTTTCTTCAACATTGTCATGCATTTTCATCAAAAATCAATATGGAGGAAGTCTATCAGTGTCAAATAAACCAATTAGAAGAGATTATGCATGATTGGACCGGTTGGATTAAAAAGGTTAGTATTTTTTGTTGGTTGTTAGTTTGTGGTCGTTGTATTTAGTTCACTCATTTGCAAACATTCCACTACTTGATATCAGTTCAGAGAGGTTTATCTTCGACATAGATTTTTGACAAAGTGTATCACGGAATTTTAGAAGTATTTAGAAGATATCTGCTTCGATTTCGATTTTCACCAAACTAGAGTGATCATAACTATTTAGCTCACTTGAAGGCAATCTTATTACTGATGTACTGTTTCTTATGCGTTCACCTCACTCACATAGAGGCCAGGCCATCTATGGCGTCGTCGCAACGTTAGCCTGGCTGTCAAAGGTAGCATGCAATGCTTCGGTACGGGCCGTCTTGCTCTGCGCCTATGAAACCTAGCCTCTCCAAGCTGAGGATGTGCGGCGACTCTGCGTATTCGATCGTCACTCTCTCTCAGGGTTGCTTGCGTCCGATGGCATCGTCGCGTGAGTAATTCTGAGGTCCGGCGGCGTGTATTTGGACACATTGGAGATCATTCTTTGAATGTCGTCATCTGGAAACAGTGGCTTCGGTGGCCTAGACATGTGCTGCGAATGTCACCCCAGGGCTTCCGTATAGGTCTCTGTTTGCTAGCCCTGGGACGGGATAGTAAAAGCGGAGAGGTGACCAGCCCATGATGTGGCGTCGTGGGATGAAGGATATTTGTGTTAGGTTAGCATTGGTTGGTGCGTTACGTCTCCCTGGTTGGATTCTGAGAGATAGCTCGAATCGGTGGCTCGAAACGTTATCGGATATGGCCAAGAATTGTAATCAATGGCGAACGCGCTGTAATTTTCTTCTTTCTTCCCTTCCCAACGATAATTGACGAATGATGTTTGAACTTGTTAAATATGACTGTTTTCCTTCTACATGAAGTTCTTTATCCGTTCTCTACTTATATTTTTTACTTTTGATCTATGTTGTTTTATTATTATTGTGTGACTCATTTTCTTGGTGCTATATTGTACCAAGTTTTTGTGTTTAAATAAATCATAAAATAAAAGCTATTCAGTTGAACTATATCTGCCTCTGGATAAGGTGGGCATAAAACAAGAGAAACAGTCATATTTAGCATTGATATACCACTCTGACCTAACCAGAAAAATGTGCTAATCGACCACAACCATTTCTGATTAGTCATTAATTTTCATATTTTACACTTGGATGGTTTGAATTTCTAAGGTTCAAACAAGACGGATTCGAGTGTCCGGAATGCATGGTTTTCTTAAATCTACATTTACTCCTGATTATTTACGAATATTCTTTCTTGTTATCAATAAGGACAAATGACGAATATTTTAAGCATTCAACTGTACACTTCATATTGTTGTGTTTGTAATGGAGAATTTCCAATTTTGGCTAAATAAACCTCCTATTTCTTCCTGAATGCTGATGTATTTTTGATTCATGACTAATTTACTTTTTGAATACGACAGGATAATCTGTGCTGATCTTTATTTTATTTTGTAGTAATTTTCTCGTAACTGTTTACGGGGTCCCAGTGGGTTAATGGTATACGAGCTCGCCTTGCAACCAGAAGGTCCTTGGTTCGAACCCCGGTGAGTACATACTGATGAAGAGGTCCAAACTAGGACGAAACAGTTGTCTTTGTGAGTCGGTGGCACAGCGGTTAGGACGCTCGCCAACCATGGACATCGTCCGGGGTTCGATCCCCGACTGACACACTACCAAACCTCGCTAAGCCAGAAATAATGCTGGTAAAGAGAAAAGGTTGGACATGAGGCTAGCAACCCCATCCTGTAAAATAAACACTGCTACAGAAACTTCAAGCCACTAGCTTGAAGCCCTATGTTCCACTGGGAACGTGAAGGAAAAAACTGTTTACAACCTAAACCATACCAGTATGTACACAGTACAAAGAATACCGTGTAGTTTTACCAAGTTGGAAAGATACGTCGCACCAGGCATAATGCTGATAGCTAAACCAGACGAAATTGTTGGTTGACTTAACTATTTAGAAGACAATTTAGCGAATATTCTTAGTTAGACAGTTTAATATAACTGCAAAATATTTTACTGAAATCTCAAGAGCCTATCGAGTATTAAGATGAGCAACGTTCAGATCAAAATAAGGCCCTAAAACGTGATAAAATATATATGAAAGACTAAGAGAAGTAATAAAACTCAAAGGCCTAGTATGAAGTTGACAGGTATCCATATTTGAGTATGCGTGTTCGGCTTAAACCTTTTGATGGCAGTTGCTTTAACAGAACTCAATAGATTATACTTCTGTTTGTTGATTGATTTGAGCAATTTGCGTTTGTCCGTATTACGTCCAGTGAACCTTCGCTGAAATATTATCTCATTGCTTATTGCTCGTCAACAGTCTTTTCTTAGATTTTTCAGTTTATGTTGAAAAGAACGAAAAAAAGCCTTTTTTCCCGCCTTCCAATATATGGCCTTTGTTCGTATAAGGCAAATAACTGAATGTATTGATTTCATCAATTCGATGATGATGTGAACTGGGGTTGTATATTTCTAATACACTTTAGTGAAAGCTGTTTCAATTCGTGCATTGGTAAAGGAAGGTCAGAATGTGAACATATAACTAACTTCATAGTCTTCTCCAAGGGGATCTTTTCAAATAAAGATAAAATGTCAAACGAAACCGTGAATTTAGCCGGAATGTCTAAGTTTCTTAATATTTGGACAGATCAAAGGCGGTATTTCAAACAGTTAACCTCGTACCGGTTACTTAGCTGATTATTCGGTCTGTTTGGTACGTGTGACTGACTTCTAACTGGCAATCAGCAGAAATGTTTCCCTTAGTTGCTCTGATAACTTTTTTTTCTGAGTTTTTTTTACTTTACTTCAGTTGTATTCGTCTGAAAACATTCTATTTACCTCAGTTTGTCTCGGTATTGCAATTTCTATGAATTCTAAACGAGATTTGCGTTTGCGTGTTATACCGATTGATAAGTCGAGTTTTTTTCCTTCACGTTCCCAGTGGATTATAGGGCTTCAAGCTAGTGGCTTGAAGTTCTGTAGCAGTGTTTATTTTACAGGATGGGTTGCTAGCCTCATGTCCAACCTTTTCTTTTTACCAGCATTATTTCTGGCTTAGAGAGGTAAAGGAGTGCTTCGTCGGCCGGGAATTGAGCCCCGGACGATGTTCATGGTTGGCGAGCGTCCTAACCGCTATGCCACCGGCGAACGATAAGTCGAGTATTGATGTCTAATAGAACTCCAAGCATTTCACACTTTGTGGGTTACAGTGTTTTAAACAACTAGAGTAGAGCACACTATTTATCGATTTTATAGTAAAAACATCTTCAGACACTAGGATTCTTCCTTTTCTCTGTAGTATAAGATAAATTGGGAGAGTAAATTACTTGAAGCCACTGGCACTCTATCTACTCTATTATCCTAATGGACAGAATAATTTCTTTTTTATGAACACTGACAACTTGCCTATAGACACAAATAGTGATCAAAGCGCGTAAGCACTTCATCCTGTTATTACAACTCTGAAAGTAAATAAGAAATCCGCTCCATATTGGCTGTCGAAATAACAACCTGAGAAAATTTCTACCCTACCAGGTTCATACTTCATTCAATCTCTGCTATTTTTTCACATCAATTTAAAATGGCATTAATATTTCTCATGAAATCACCACTCATTGTTCTAAAGTGTTTATTTTCATTTTATCTTCCATCTTGAAAGTAGTTTATATATGCATTTTATTCCAGGCAAGGTCACCACCTTCTTGTTTTCATGATACTAAATGTCAGTTTATGTTCTTTATTTGGTTGGCTAGGTGTTTGTTCTGTCACATTTTATCTAGGCGTTTACAATGCCTGATATTTTATTGATTTATTAGATTTAGGTAGACTTCTATACTCGACTGATCTGTTTATTATGTCTTTTATCTCATTTTCTGGTTTTCGATAGTGTTTGCATCCAAGATATAATATAATCTATGGTTTAAATTAGCATAAAAAGTTAAAGTTTGATGATGGCTACGAGGCGTTGGTTGGAAAAATCAATGGAGTGTTTTGATTGATCTTGTTCTTTTGTTGAAGAACTACACTGTAGGAGTGTGACTAAGTTCTTTGGGTTTAAGCAATTTGTTAACTCTTTGTCAAGGAGTCCTATATTCGCATCTCACTCCGCCTAATTCAGAGTGGTCAACTGGTCAATCCTCGCACAGTAAGTGCGGCCAGTAGTCTAGCGCATGAGTAGTCTGTTCCGGGCAGCTGAATTCTGATACATTTTCATACGTTGAATTAAACTTGGATATTACACTTTGTCCTTTTAGCATATGATATATGTATGTGTATACACTTGCTGATCATAGATACGGTAAAGTTATGGAAAGAGAGACACTTCTAGTCTATTGCTACTGTTCACCTTATAACTTTGTGGTATGTTGCATGCTTGACACTTAATCTGTGTGGGGTAGGATTTAAGACATTTGGACTTCTCCGTCACCATTTGGATATTTTTATGTTAATCATGAACTGTGCATACCATAATCCCAAATTGACTTTATATACTAAGTGGTTCAAGCTCCAGTCTGTCAGTGAAATAATACATCAAATTTAAGCAACCTAACAGTATCATGTCATAATTCTAGAAGAATTGGTTTTCTTGAATGGAATGTCCTTTATCCCAGTATGATTACTGCTATGCCGTTTTGGGAATGACAAGATACTTGTTCAATCTAAAGGATTAAAGCAGAAGCGATTTCAATTGTTACATTTTACGCTACTCGTTAAATTACAAGACAAAATACATAACTAACTAACATAAGCAAGTGTACCCTTTAGCAATCAAGATTCGCTAGACGGTTGCTTCATCCTAGTTTACACTTCAGTAGTCTACAAAGTAGTAGTAAGACTCGATCCTTAAACCGTTTGGTTACAAAACGAGCGCATTAGCATTCACTTAGTCGTTAGGCAGAAATTTTACAGCATCTGATTTTATGTCAATCGGAACTATTAATCATATTGGCAATTTACACAGATCAAGGTGATTATTTCACCAGAGTTTCCTATGGAAACCGAGATTATTCAGATGACAACATGTGATCTGCTTGACACCATAAATGGTGATCAAGAAACCATGCGTAAATGCACCAAACTGAATACTACTGGTTAGTTAAGATGAGTAGGTGTATACCACTGACGTCAATCAGTAGTGTTTCCTAGCCATATCTAAACTTTGGACCGCCGTTTGGAATCGACCTTATCAGCGGTGTACGCTGCTGGACTCACCTCAGACATTTGAATCAGTTCAAACCATCCGATGTTCTGGTTACAAATTAGTTCACAATTGTGCAAATTAATTCACAATTTACACGGTTGGAGGAGATTATTTGAACTAAATGGTTTTATTCTCATCCAGTGTCATCGATGAACATCTGTTCTTCTACTCATTTATCATTTGTCATATAGACACAGAGAGATAAAGGGTTTAGAAGTACACTTTAAGCATTCTTATACTTTTCTTTTAATTTTACTTAAAACTGTCTGAATTCTGATTGGCTACTTCAAGTTAAGGACAACTCCCATTATTACACGCTGAAAATACCATATAGTCGTAGAATTGTGAATAAAGAGTATAGTGAAGAGGCTTTTTTTCGGCGAACTCATCCACTTAACTGTAAAATCTCAATTTGTTTATAGATAATTGGTTTTCCTATTATCTTACCTTTTATTACCCCTTTTTACTATGTATGACCGGCAAATTATGAACACAAGCATACAAAAATAATTATATATAATTGCAGTTGTACAGATTAGTGAATGAATTCCTTGGAAGCGTTTTTTTTACTGTACTTTTCGTCTTTAATTCTCATATTCTCACTTTTCTTAATTTATTATTTAGCTATAATTTCATTCCATAGTTTGGTTTGTAAGGGTTAGTTTTGCTTTTACGAGTTGATCACAGATTGATATCAGTTAGAGAACCATTGAAAACCAGCACTGGAGTACTGGACAGCTGTTTCATCCTAGTTTGAGAATCATCGGCAGTACGCACCCACTGAGGTTCGAACCCAGGACCTTCCGGTTACAATCAAGTTTGGTTTCCTTGCAAATCAACTATAGAAAATTAATCTGATGTTCGCTAGTGACTTGCTACAGGATGGAGTTTCCTGGAGTTCTAGTAAGAAGTTGTGACCAGTGAGGTCCATCCATATGTCACGTGTGAGGATGGATGTCCCACCGACGACAGTGGTTGGGGTCACGATAAATCATGAATTGGTAGAAGTTAGAATTCATGGACTGGCCATTGGATTGGGTGGAGTCCCACTGGCGGCTGAATGGTATACGAGCTAGCTTGACTTGTAACCGGAAGGTTCTGGGTTCGAACCTCAGTGGGTGCGTACTGCCGATGATTCACAAACTAGGATGAAACAGCTGTCCAGTACTCCAGTGCTGGCTTTCAATGGTTCTCTAGCTGATATCATTTCGTGATCAGCTCGTATAACTTCATTGTTTAACACTAT